TTTTTTTTTTTTTTTTTTCTTGTGGGCTAAATATTCCAATTGTTTGGATGTTTAAAATGTAGAATATAAAACTATTCTAAATATAACATTCGATAATATAAATATGCAATTTTATTAATATAATATAACAAGTAACAACTTAGACTTGTCTAGTTGTTGTTATGTTGTCTCACACATGAATTTATGTCAACCGGATAAATTTTTTAGTTTAATTCCCAAATATTCGAAAAATTTCCATTTAACACACAACAAATATGCCAATTTCAATCCATTACAAACATGACACCCTTTAAAATCACAAAAAACAACCCCTTTTGTGACATTACAAACAGCATCACAAGAGCTATGGCAACTTCAAACACACATGCAACAATTAAGGATGAGACTTGTGAAACGAAAATCGATAGTAAACTTTAAAAAGTACGGCAAAACGACGTTTTCCATGTAATATTCCCTAATAAATTGGGACCGAATTCACAAGTTCGTGTGCACACATTGCTCGTCTTTGCACAAATTGTTACTATTTAAGCTCTTGACTCATAAAAACAAATGCAATTTCCTAGGTTGATAAATAAAATTACAGAAAAAAAAATAAAAAAGTAGACATGCCGTTAGCCGTTGCTACAAATCGAACCAGCAAACGTATCTACACCACTTTTTGGCACTCCACATAATGAAAAACCGCAAACAAAAATCATAAAACTTCAAGACATGTTGAAAAAGGAGAGGCGAGTTGAGAAGCACTCACATTTTTTTATCACTTTCTCGAATGTTAATCTGAATCTCATGATACGATCTGCCTATCAAAAGTTGAATGCACAACCCGCCTGCATAAGCAAATATATATATATATATATTTTTTTTTTTTTTTTTCGTTTTCGTCACTTAGAGAATAGCCCAGAACTTCTTTCTACAAAATAAGACTGATTCCATTCTTTTCTGATCATCTTCCAGAAACTGCAGCTGAGTGTCCCACAGAAACTTGGGAGCAAGATCTTTAATTCTTGAAATTACAGTATCGTCTTCACCTCTAATAATTATGTACCCCTGCAAATGCCAGAAATTTTATACTTGCAGCTTAATCACAAACCCAAAATTAAAAAAAAAAAATGCCTCGCTTTTCTCACGCGATAATAATAATAATGATAGTTGTAAAAAAAGTCTAGTACTATCACATTTTACCGTAAAATTTTCACTTATTTGTACATTTAATTTTGTTAAGGAGCATTAAAAACTCGGATAATTACACACCATTGAACTCCCAGATTTGTTATTTCTTTTTTTTTTTCAAAATAATTTACATACACGGGGTTGCATGACAAAATGAATAGTCCTTATTGTTATAAATTCCCATGAAATAAAAAAATAAAATATACAAAAATCATAAGAAAGAAAATATTCACCTGAGGTCGCAACATGCGATCCATCTCTAACATGATATCCTCATACAAACAACCTTCTTCACGGTTTTTGTAGTTCGAGAAAAGACGGTTGGCATGCAACAAATCATACGTGCGCGGATATGTCGAAAATGGCTCACACCTTCATTTTAGCATTATATATTCATTAAATATTTTGTTCAATGTAAATCACAAAAGGTCAAATACCCACTCCAGATTTGGCCTAATTAAAGAAAAAAACACAGTTATACAACAAAATTACAAATATTAAAGACACATTAGTACATCTGAAATATTAGAAGATTTTTTTCTTTATCTTTTCAATTTGACAGCTTCAAGGGTATTTTCATAATTAACACGATTCAGCTGCTTACCAGTCATGAGAAACACCGATTAGCCCCCGGTCCAAAATGGCAGGTAAAGTATTTTTCGTGCTAATGGGAACTACATTCATTACCCACACAGGCCAAGTGCTTAAGGCAACAGAAAATCCACCAAGAAATGCATTCATATCCATCACATTCCGTATTTCCTTCTCATCAACTCCCATCAATCTCCAGTAGTGACGAACCTGATCTTGCCAGTATATTGTATCGGATAAAAATCTCTCTCGACCAATACCTGCACCAAATGCGTACACCATGTCAACTTCAAAGGCACAGATAAACAATTTTGTTTTCTCAAAACAAATAAATGCCTCTGCTTTCGAAGCAAGAAACTGTCTATCGCTGTTTTCTTTCTTTCTTTCATTTTTCGTTCTTTCTTTCTTTGCCTTTTTCTTTTGGAGTTCAAATATCGAGCTAACTACCTAGCTTAATGAGGGTCGACGAGTATTCAGAAAGACGCTGTGGTTTTGGAGGGAGTTTTTTCGAAACACGTTCTGAAATACATGTCCTCAATGGCTTCTGAAATGAAGGTTCATCTTCATGAGTAGAATCACATATACTAATGAGCTTATGCTGAGCCTTTTGCTGGAGACATGAATTGTCATCGAGCTTAATCCAGATTGCTGTCTGCACTTGACGGGCAATAAGTTTCCAGCACATAGCAGAAGTCAAATTCACCAACTTATCCCAAATTAGTGGGAAATCTTTGTCTTTTCTGTAGGCAGGAGGAGCTGAGTAGACAAAATATCCGTCTGGCCGCAATAAACGATCCACTTCTTTTATTAGGATACCATCTGCATTGATTAAAACAAAAGGGAATGAATTATAGCAGTTTTCTTATTCAGATGCACCTTTTTCAGATAATTATTGTTTATTTAAGTTATAAGATTAAATAAAAAGGTATCTCATTTAGAGTGCAAGTTTTAAGTAAAGCTTTTTCATTACACAAACTAACCATTCTCGTGCCAATCAACACGGCATCTTGAACAATGCACCATCTCAAAAGAGTTTCCAGGGTATGGCAGCTGTTTAGTGGATAAAGCCGAGATCATGGCCCCAATTCCTCTCTCTAAAGCGAACTGAATTTGATTTTCGTGGCCATCTTTTGGAGCAAAGGACATAGTTTGTATATTTAAGGGAAGAAGATAAGCAGAAAAACTAGCTACTCCACAACCAACGTCTAGAACTTGAAATATGCCCGCATCACGAAGATCGCCGGTCGAATTAGTTGTCATATTCCCTAACCTGCGGAATTAGATTCAAATTCAGTCATAGAAATTAACCAGAGAAAAACATCGATGGACTCCGAAGGAAAAAAGGACCACTAACTTACAAGAAACACATCCACACACACACACATGTGATGGAAATTTCATTCCCGGTTTTAAAATATCCTAAAAATTTAAGACTTACCATTATTGGTTTGTAGCGGTGAACAATTTTTACACCAACTCTTTTTGAGGTCCATTTAGTAAAAATTTGTTTCGAGCCACACGCAATAAATTCTTGAATGTTCATTTACAATTTACAAGCATATAATTTCCACGAGCTTATGCATAAAGGTCCTCTAAACATTCCAACTTAACCTACATTCTTAAGATAAGCTACTGAATCAAGTCAAAATAAGATATATGTGCATGCTTACCTTTTGCCATAATCAAAGACATTATATGAGAACTTTTAAGATTGTTACGGATACGCATGGACCAAAAAATCATGAGGATCAATTAATATGTTATAATCCTACATAAACTGTAATAAACAATACATCACCAAGAAAACCAAACATATGAAAAACATAAGTACCTTTCAATATACTCAGGAGCTCCATGCTTGAAATGAGTACCTCCACCAGGAAACCACCATAGCTTATCCTTCTCATGCACCCAATTTTGTCCTCCTTTAACCTCTGCAAGATGCGTATGGTTCACATTACTCCGCCAAACATAGTCCCTACTGGTGGGCCACCTTATCGGTATCTTATAGTCATTTGGTGGTGGAACTAAACAAAACAGTCGCCCAACAAAGGGAGGACAATGCCTCTCAAGCTCCTCTTTTCTCGAAAGGTCTAATTTCGGCAGTAATTCTTTGATGTAGGAAATGTCGTGGCAAGGAATATATTCGTTGTATTTTAAGGGGCATATGTTCATCCCTGTTTCTGGGATCCTAAGTGGTGATGTTCTATATGTAAGAACAACTTTATTTCTAAACAAACCTGCAAGCATAACAATCGCAATTTTACTAAAAAGAAAGTCAAGCAATCGAGCTTTACGAACCAATGATCTTCCATAAATTGTCAGCTGGAAGGTATCAAAATTAAACTTTCCGAATGACACATAAGAGGTCCCGGAATAGATTAGCTCCAACCAAGAAAAGCTAAAAACTAGCCCGTTTGAGTATTAAGCTCCCAAGTACAAGATTTGTCATGAAAGCCCAATCTCCGGTGAAGATTTGTCACTGAAGATTGGAACTTCAAAATTAAACAATTTTAAAAAAACAAGAATGCTGTATTTACTAGTTTACAGATTCAACAAGCACGGACGGTTAAACATTCTTGATCCTGAACCTGCTTAAATCCTTGAATTAACTCATTTTCCGATGCAGATTCTCAACAAAGGTTCGAATTTTTAAACTTCAAGAACCACATTTCACAATTTTCACATACCCATAACGCAAAAATTAGCGCACGCACACGCAGACGCACACACTAACCAGAGGCTGATGCGGAATCATTGGCACTGGGCGCTTGTGTTTGTTGTACGCTGTGCTGTTTGTGTGGAGCGTAGAGGAAAGATGAATTGCTGCTGAAGAGAGTGCCTGTGTAGAAAGAAGCCATCATCACCAAGAGGGTTGCTACTACAAGCTGGCCCGCCTTCCATTCAAACGACGGCGTTTTGAGAAAATCCACCATTTTAGTATGCCACAGAGAGTGTGTGTGTGTGCAGGTGTGTGCGAATCAACGCGTGCGCATTGTAGTAGTAGAGAGGGCCGATCGATGGATCTCTCACACAGTGGATGAGTAGTGGGTGTGAGAGAGAGATCCGATCAGAAGTACAAAAATGCACCGCTCTATCTAATCTCATCGTTATTTTTTAATTTTTTTTTTAATATTTTATGTTATTTTTACTATTAGAAATTTGAAACCTTAAAGTTAAAATTAGTCAAGACTTGCATTTTCCAATTTAGTACTTCACTTTCTTATTAAAATAATGTGAAAAATAACATCATGAACATGTTTATGTGTTTATGTCATGGTAAACTTAGTCGATAAGTTGTCTTATAGCTTTTAAGTGAATTTTGAACTTATAGTTAATATTAATGGTTATGTTTGGTAAAACTAACTTATAACTTTTGAGTTAATTTTGAGCTTATTATAAATTTCTCTTTGAGGTATAAAATCTATGTTTCGAAAAAAAAAATGCAAAAACTTAACAAAAAGTAATGGCTTTTATCTAATTTATAGGAGTTTTTTTTTTTTTTTTTTTTCGGTACAAAGAGGGAGGCTATTGCCTTAGACTACGATATTTCGAGGATGGGCTATCCCGAGAACATCATGTTGAAGCCACGGTTTCACCCCCGTGGGAGGGTCATCAAGTATATGGAGACCTCCCGGCATGGTCGATGCTAGGGATGCAAGATAATCCGCTGCAAAATTTACCTCACGGTGGATATGTCGGACCTCCACATCCCATTCTCTTCCTAAGAGCTCCTTAATACCCATAATAATGCTGCTGTGAATACCCGTGTGTTCACCATTGTGAAGCACCAAATCGACGACGTTTTTGCTATCCACTTCCGCAATCACCAGACGGTGTCCCAATCTCCACGCTAAATTCAAGCCTTGGAAAAGTCCCCATAATTCCGCACCCAAGACCGAGCAAAACCCGATATTCATCGCAAAACCGGACACCCACCTACCATCTTCGTCCCGTAGCAGACCCCCCGTCGAGGCCATTCCTGAATGACGATTAAAGGCCCCATCTGAGTTTAGTTTAATGCAGCCCGCCGCCGGCTTGGCCCACGAGAGCCATCGGGGTTCTCTGCATGAAATTGCTGCACCTAAACTTTTCGCGTGCAGAAAGGCCAAATTACACCCTTCATCTTGTCTATCGATTGCCGCCACACGTCCAAAAATGTTTAACCCGGCTTTCTCGAATATGTAGGAGTTTCGCCCACGCCAGATGTTCCATAAAGTGACCCCAAAAACACAGCTCCAATTCTCCACCTGAATTTATAGGAGCTTTTAATGTGGCTCTTATGACATGGGTTTCTCTTTTCTTCCCTTTTCTTCATTATTATAGATTTATGCAACTTTAAGGCAAGCCTAATCATTATAGACAGACACAGATTTTCAATTAATAAGCAAACTTCCAAACAAAAATAACTAAAATGTCACACACAAAGTAAATGTCGATTGCCTTCAACTCGACTACAAAAACCACCAAATACAACACTCCGTTTTACCTTCCACCAGAACAAAAAATGCTACAAAAAAAATGCCACAAAACAAGAAAACATTAATCAACCTCCAAAAAACCAGCAGAATCAACATCTCTCAGAGTCAATCTCCCCATGTACAGCTCGCTAACATGCTCCGAGCACAAAGGCAAGCACTTCCCGTGCATGCTATCGTGCACTGCCCCCATTCTAGCCACCCACTCTTCCTCGTCCGACGTGTCCAGATTCAGATACTTTTGCAGCAAATGAATCCGGTACACAACAACCGTATCATCCCTACTCTCGCAAAAATGGGCCGCACAGCGGGCCCACGGCTCGTTCGATTCCAGCCTGGTCAAAACCATGGTCAAACACCCGTCGACCGGAATGGGGTCTGCAAGATTCCCTTCCCCCATCATTTTAATCTCCTTTTCCGAAGGAAAAAATGCTCGTTCGTCCCCATTCGCATCCAAAACAATCAGATCTTTCGTGAAATGCCTCATCGTCTCTTGCTTCGTGGCCTCGTGTTTTTCGGCAAGTGTCAACAGACACGAGAATCTGAGATGATAGCTCACGATGATTTTCACCTTCCGGAAATTATGACAGCAACGGTAAAAATCGAGCCATCTTTTCGCGATCCCGGCATACCATTTCACAATGTCAGCATCCTTGACAACAGTTAATAAACTCAAGGGCCTCGGTCGGCCCATTTTGTTAGTAAATCCGACCAACTTAACGGCTTTTTTGAGAAGATCCAAAGGCGCCTCGACTTTTACGAGGCGTCTAGTTAGATCATCGACTGTCTTCCGAGAGTATTTTTCTTCCTCTTCTTGCTCCTTCCTTCTCAAAGTTTCGGCTAATTCCTTCTTTGCCTTCACGGGTTTTAAATGCTTGTCGATTTGCGTTTGGAAATTATCGTAGGCTTCGACAAGATCTCGCGGTAGTTGATCTCTAATCCTCGCTAAAGAAAGAAAATCTCCACCCGATAATTTCCGGTGCCACTCCCAACGCTCGTCCACGGATGATAAAAACCCGCGCACCACTTCATGGCCCCACGTTGCAAAGACTTCTGTTACCTCGTTTTCTATCTGGAAATCGAATTCGAAACTGCTCCCACGTCTTAATTTTTTATGCACGTGGCTCAACAGCTTCATCCCCAGCTTCTTCCGGTTTCTTTCTCGTTTATTTTTCAGCTCCAAAAGCCGGACTTCTTTCTGCCTGAGATACTTCTTGTGAGCTCGGATGGCTTTTTCCGTCTTTCGCGGCCGGATTATGGAAGGGGCTACTGCTTGAAGATCCATTCCTAAAAAATCTATCTTTTCAGAAACCGCACTGTGAATTACAGTCTTCGATTTGTCCACATTCAAATCAAGATCGCGCGTTAAGAAATCCACAATAAGATTCTTTAAGTCCAATGTCAGCATCTTACTCCCCGATGTCACAATCAATATCTCATTTAGATACCGAATGGCGTAAATCTTCAGCGGCTTGTAAAAAACGGGCCTTGGAGGACCCAATCCATCGGGGGAAAGCTCGCTTTCTTTAAACTTCGGATTCTCATTATTCACTTTTAACCGCAACTCTTGAATTTTCTGATCAAAACTATTGAAGGATACATTAATCAGAATCGAACTCAGGCAGCATTCTTGCGGCAGCCCTCTGCCTAAACAAAGCCCGCCAAGATCAATCGCGAGTACCTTACACTCGAACAATTTTCTTATCAAATCAATAAGTGCATTGTCTTCGATTTTTTTCCCGAGCATTACACACAGCTTATCCACATGCCCAGGCCCAAACAGCCCCTTGTTGAATTTAACGGTAAACCACCAGCTGGGATTCTCGATCGAGTTCTTCAGGTACCGAACAGCTGTGTGACGGCCCATGATCGTCCTGCCGCCGTACGAGAATGTGGCGAACCTGTCATCGTAAATGATCTCGAGTACAATCCTAATAGCTTCAAGTACCACCTTAAGCTTCAAATCGGGCAGCACGAGTGGCTCACCTTTGGGGTCCTCCGGAGAAAACCGAACACAGCACGACTCAACGTCCAGGAAGTTGTTCGAGAGCTGCAAGGAGAGGTCGTGAAGGGAGAAGAAGCGGGCCGAGACCGAATCGAGAGTGATGGACGGCGGCGTTGGGGTCGTGACGGGCCGGCAAAGGTTTTGGCAGGCGGTGAGGAGGACGGAGGGTGAGGCGACGACGTTTTGGAGCAGGCCGTGGAATTTCCCGCCGCGGTAGCGGGAGAGGACTAGGGATTGAAGGTCTGGATTCGGGCCGTGTTGAGGGTGGCGGAGAGTGGAGAATCTGACGGGGAGAAGCGGAACGACGGTGGCGATTGCGGCGGCTTTGGGTTTTCTGACGAAGGTTGAGAGCATTTGAGGTTTGGTCACTGCCGCCGTCTACAAGGCGTTTGATGAAATGTTTGGGGAGGTCAATAAATTTTGGGTTTTAAAACCCCTCATTTTACCGGGGTTGGGTTGGATATAGTTTAATTTTTATTTATTTTTTTTTTAAAAAAATGATATTGTATGCTATTTTATATTTTTTAATGAAAGAAAGCTCTTATTTATCACATACTAAAATATTTTTCAAAATAAATGAAACATTATTGTATATGCATTTGTGTTGAATGGCCTTTTTTAAAACTTCTTCGTAAATGCATACTTTGGATAGTTAAATATTATTCTTAACTTTTCGATAATACAAATAACAATATGTATAGCTAATAATTATGTTCAAAATACTTAAATTAATTTATTATTCTTTTACTACCTTGATATTCATTTTGAATTTTTTACTTTAAAGTACTTTTGAAATAGAGTAAAGTTCAAGGTGTTGGAGTTGAAAAATTGATGAAAACGTTAATTTGTAGTACTAAGACTATGTTTAGTAAAACTAGCGGATAAACTAACTTATAATTTATCAAAAAATTTTTAACTTATAGCTTATAACTTATAGCTGATAAGCTAGCTTACATGATAAAAATGTTTGATAAAATTAGCTGATAGCTAGGCTAGCTGGAACAAAAAATTCAATTAGCTTACTTGAAAAGCTACCTAAAACAGCTTGTCAAATAAGCTCGAGCTTTTTAGAAAAGCTCGTCTTACCAAACAAGACTTATTTGAATACATGAAGCTTATAAGCTAACCAAACATAACCTAACCATCTGATTGAAGGACTAGGAACAAATTCAATGCTTCTTACAAAATTCATTCTAAGGATATCACTGCCAATCCAAATTTCCACTACTCAGAGGACAAAAAATGTAGTAGAAACGAGGGCTGGCTTTTACATTGTGCATTTGAGGCAGATAAAATCTAACAAAATCAGTACACAATACATATCGGGACAAGAATTTTTTCACGGATGTTTACGAAATAGTAACTTGCTAAAAAGAATCTCATGAACCGAACCGAACCGAACTCGCCAGGCATGCAACTATGTCTCGTCAAAAACGCCAAAGATTTAACCGATCTTCAAGGCACGCATAGACTGAGTTGCGACAAATATGCCAATATTCTTTCAAGGGGATTACAATCCATGGCAACTTCGCAGGGAGAGTGGGTCCAGGAGAATACAGAATGCTGCAGATCAAGATTATCCGAGCAAAATAAGAAACAAAGAGGTTTGGTAATTGATTGTTGGCAAAGAAAAAAAAAATGTGATATTTAGCATTTAGATAGAAAAATGAAAACGGTGATGTCCGGGTGCTTGGATACAAATATATTCGCTCAAAACGAGTTTTTTGTTAAGCAGGGTTCTTTTGAAAAAAGTGATATCAGTGGGATTTTTTGTTTATATTAAAATAATATCTAAAATAAATTAATTAAAGTTGATTTGATGTAAAAGTATGAAAGAAATGATGTGAAGTGATAGTTAAAATTATGTGAGTTGATGAATAGTGAATTAAAGTTGACATGATGTGTAAGAATGATTAATTGGTATTATTTAATTATATTGGTAATATTTAAGATAGTGAAGTTGAGTTAAAGTTGAGTTCGATTTTGAGTATGAACAGAGTATCAGTTGAACAATTTTATAAGCAAACACTCCCTCACTAATTTTTCTAATGGGTAGAAAAGACATATAAAAGAACCAATGAAGTTACCTTCTTCCTGTGAGAAGCCCGTAAGCTGACGAGCCAATAGATGACCGAGAAAAAGAAGACCAACATAATCTGTAGTGAGGCTTCACTACCTCTCCTGTAACAAATGTTATCATAAATCCGCATATTATTACCAATAAGACGACGTCCAATGAATTATCCTCAAACTACCTTAAAGACTATGTAAATTACAAAAAGTAGAGTGTGAAGAGTATAATATCAAGGATAGTTTTACAGATTTGAAAGATAATCGCGTTTTCCTTAAGTAATAAATTATGACCAAAAGAACCAATATTTAGCACATCTCAAATTGCGTACAAAATCAGAAAGAAATCGAAGCTCATGATTTTTACCCAAGTTCAAATAATTGCTGTGGAGAAATGAAACCAAAACACTGGATCCATGGCTGCTGCTAGCATAATCTGCTTTTCGCAGCTTCTCAGAGGATAAATTACCGCCATTTACAGCTCGAAATTCAGAATGTTGACACGCTGTAGTTTCGAACCAGATCCCACATGGAAATCTACTTTTACTTCTCAGCCAGATGAAAACTTTTGCATAGGGAGTGAAGTGGATAAATGATATCACGGCCTCTATGAATATGCAGATAAGGGTCACGGTCGTGTGCAAAATGGTGAAAAATATATGAAATGCCGATATTGTTGGCAGCAGAAGTAAAATCGGTGTAAACAGAAGAGATCCAACTACATGCTGCTCGACTGAGTGATCATAGCTATCCAGTCTGTGACGTTGAGGATTCACCTTTCTACCACTGCAATTAGTTCACCATTTACTGAGTCAGCTTCAATTACCACCATAATCACAGGACATATTACTTGACAAGCATATTTAATCGACACTTCATTAGTGCTAATTAGAAAAAACAATCTAAGAATTGCCATATAGTCCACTAATGAAGTATCGATTAAAAAAAAAGAACACTCCATCTTGACATAACTGCCATTTAGTCCACTCCAACCAAGATCTTTTTTTTTTCTTGATTCAAACTCCAATGAAACAAATTTCTTGGTAAAAAAAATCATTTTCATCACATGTTAGTGCTCAAACCAAAAAAAATACTGTCCAATTATACTATATTTGACTTTTACCTAAAGTTGGAATAAGTAACAATGACAAAACAATTGTCAGTTCTTTCTTTATACCAGGACCCCCTTTTTTAACCACTCAAACTCTGGTTTTCAATTTTTTCACCTGAGTTCAAACTATTTTACTGCATTAAGTGGACATGATAACTTCTATTTTTCATTTGTCTCTCTGTATTAAGAGCAGAAAACAAGTTGAAACCTACTCAAGATGGAGAGGTAAATAGGAAAAATATGATTCAATAACTTTGTTACCTGAAAAGGCGCCACAAGGCTGCTAATGCCCGTATCTGACTCGAATAGATAAACGAAAAGAATAAATGAAGAGACAAAACATGCATCGTCACTAGTGAAATTACATCAACGATTAGAGCTGCCGCTGATGTCAAACCAAATACAACCCCGCAGAGAGCAAGTCCTTTTGTGAAGTAAACAAAGAGAAATCCCATAAAACTCCAAAGAGTTGACCAAATTTGAATAGCATTAAGACAAATCATTCCAAGAATTCCTGCTAGCTCTGTATTCAACTTAAAACCAGCTGGGTTTCCCATTAGCCACACGCATCCGGTTCGCAACCAATTGTTAGTGAAGTCTTGAGAGAATTTTGAAACCCATGAGCAAGCAGGTTCAGCCATAAACCACAGGGTAATGCCGAAAATATTACCCAGAAGAATATCAACCATGACATTTGACCAGATTGAGTGCTTGTCGAATGAGACTTTTTCTGCTACCTCAACAGATGACCAATCCCTATAAAAATGAAAAAAAAAAAAAAAAATTAGTAAGGTTATCTATCTAAGAGAACATCATAATACAAATGAGGATCACAAATTATATGGCCAATGATTAAAAATTATAGATAAGTTGGCATGCAAAAGATTAGGATGGGAGAAGGATAGACTCATAGCATACGCTGAGTGAAACTATTTCCATCTTATATGGAATCCAAGGTGTATCTCTCTCATGTTCAAGAAATATAACAAAATTTAGTATTTTCCTTGTATCCAAGCAACCATGTTAGTTTCTATTGAGTCTGTTTATAACTAAATCTTTAGAGACCATATTAACGATAGTAGACTGCAAATGTATTCTCTTCTTCAACCTCCAATGCCTGGCTGTACACATGGTTAAGATAAAAAAAAATAAAAATAAAAAAGCTATACTTTGCCAATTTACCTTATACTTTGATCCTGGAGAGAGAGAGGCCAATACAAGAGTTGACAACAGCGGAAGTGGATGTTCTTCGATGTATTGCTAAATGCGTTCTCCAATAAGACATCCATATACATGCGGGAAAACCAACCAAAAAGAACTCGCGAAGACTGAATAATGATAAAAATGACAGTTGAAAGTGATGCAACACATGTAGCAAATAGTTTCCATGTGACGGTTGAGACCCTGGACAAGACATATAGAAGCTGACATTAAGAATAAGAAAGAGAGGAAGGACAGAAGTTAATAATGATTTACTTTACTTACATGCGACAATAGTTGGGAAAACCAGACTTGGATTGCTGATGTCCATCAAACAATATCCGAGCAGCACATGCACTGTTCATTGCCTGGATGACAGTATCCTTTTCGAAAGGGTATAAAAAAGCAATTAGGCAACATATATATATATATATATATATATATATATATATATGACAAATAAAATAAATTTTGCAGACACAACAGTTTAAAATAATATTTACCAAGTCTAGGCGAACATTTTTTTGCTGAAGGTCATCAAACCACTTGGGTTTCCTGTACGTGGATTGAACAGGGTTTGATAAACTATGACTACCCAGTGAGTAATGGTGACCACCAAAAGTAGGTATGTCATACAGTATCACCTAAAGTTATCAGGAACTTGTGTTAAGCTATATATGATAAGAGCAATGGAAAAGGAAAATAATCGTGTTTGTACAAGTGTTGAATATGACTTACATACGTGAAGATCTAGATGGGACATTGTTTCACTGTCCATGTGTAGATGATCCAATTTAGGTATGACAAGAACTTTTCCATCAGCAGTTTCATAAGGACTGTAAATGAGCCTTATCCACATGTTTTCTTGAGCAGAAAATTTACCGCGTTTGAATACGCTAACTTTTTTGGAGCATCCACAGTTCCAGCTCACATGATCACTTGTGCATTTTCTTGGGTGTTGGCCGTTGGTTGAGTTGATGTCATCATTTTTGTCACTTTTTTTAAATCTTACCGATACCCCATTGCCACTGGCATTTGCTTCACAGAGTCCTAGCAGGTGGAATTCGCTTTTATCTTGAAGAGGAGTCATGCTCTCAGTTGTCCCCAAAAGTACTTCCTAAATCAAATTTAATGTAGCAACAGGTAAATCAGTAAATGCAAAGTGAATAAACATATATGCTTCTGCAGAAAGCCAGAAACTAGGTGGTTTCCATTAGACAACCCAATCTCTCTGCGGCTAAATGCAAAACCTTGAGTTGTATGTCAATATGAGTATAATTGAAACACACAATGCACATATATTATCCGACGTGATAATAACATACAACCACAGGTCAACTTTCTACTTCAAGCAAACCACACACCGCACAATACTTCTCTAGCTCCAAATTCTTTCATTTTTTTTTTTATCATCGACGAGCAATGCCTACAACTTCTTTACTTCAGATTTTGAAAGGAAAAATTGCTGATAGTGCCTAATTGACATACTACAAATCTAACTATAATCAATGCAGCTAGCAAAACCCACATCGGTTCACATAGGTACTAAAGCAGCCATTATTGCGAGTAGACTTCTAAAACCCCAAATCAGTTCACTTATGTGCTAAAGCTAGCAAAATACGACCAATAAATAATTCGCTCAATTCAGCACAAACACACAAATACATTTACAAATACATGCGAGTAGTGTGAAATGCAGCTCAAACATAACTGTTGCGAGCAACAAAGCACGAACTGCATAATTTCCAATGATCCAACAACAGTTTTGTGGGCTGTGTTAACTGAAACTAAACCGTTGTTAAGTCTACCCCAATTTTGAAAAGCCACTATCCTCAAACAATATCACGAAGCTGAAAGATCGAGAATTTGAGTACGGTTTACAATCACATCCCTCAAATTCCATATACACATCGCACCCATCACCAAACAAAAAGCACATAATTTGATCTATTGAACTAAATAATCAGCTAATTGAAGAAGCCCAGATAGTGTACCTGAAGATTCGAACAATGACCCATCAACGAAGTAAGTTCGGGCTCATCGCAGGTAAAGGCGACGACAACGTCCACTGATTCTTCGGGATTTGGAATGAACCACCCGAACAAGAAACTTGAATTGGGTGAAGATGGAGACAAGAGGTTTCTTGGCCACCATAGCCTGCACTTTCTTCTTCGTCTTCCCATTTTTTACAGCTCAGATGGCCGGAATCTCATTAGTTTCCAGTCGGAGAAATCTGAGCGAACCGCGATTTTGCCGTCGGCGGAGAACGGAGGGCCGTCGACGGTTGGTATTCAATTGAGAAACTTTTAAAATTCTGTATTCAATTCAGATTATAAAAAGGAGGGGATGGTATCACAAGGGGACCGCATCGTTTCTCTATAAAAAGTCATGCAAAATCATCATATATTTAACTTATTTGAGACTAAAATTTGTTAAAACTTCTTAAAATTTGGTGAAATTTTTAAATAATTAATCTTATAGGAAATCTCACTTCAAATTCGACGTCCATACTTAAGATTTCATATAACTTATAAAATTTGAAAAAATCTAAAAAGTAGTCTTAAATAGTCGTAAATATGGCCTTAACTTTTTACTTTTACAATATTTAAAAGTATTTTTTTTATGTAATTTGAATTGTGTCGTTTTGGGAACATATAATTTTTATTTGAAATTCAAATTATTTAAGTCAATTGCAAAAAATCCGTAAAGATTGAAATATTTATAGATCATAGAGAAATCCATATAGATCGTTAGAATTAATTTATAGAGAAATTCATAAAATTAATTTAAATTATAATTCATGCAAAATCAAATAAATTTGGCAAAATATCACAACACCTTTAAATTTTATCTTATCATAAGAATTTCGTATGAGTAGGAGGTTTACACACGCGAAGACATTAATAAATGGATTCAATTTTCTTTCTTCCGACTTGCAATGTTGTTTGTTTGAGGGCAAGTAAAAATAATAAGTATGGGGGAATTGTTGTCAATGTTTTGTTGGTATTTTTGTGTGCTTTTATAGTTTTCTAGTTAGTTTATTCCAGTTCTTCTTATCGTTTTTTTGGTCCATTAGGTTGATTTTGCCCACGAACTCATTTTCGTGAGCATCTTTTTCCAAATGAGGTTTTCGGACGAAATGGACATTTCGTTTAGGCCACGGTGAGTTTGTTTGTCATAGTGTTATTAGCTTATTTTTGCGTATTATTCGTCTACTTTTATATTTCCTTTTTTTAGGAAAATGTTGCTCATATATATTTTATGATAATCATCGCCGGAACAAGACCAAATATGGCGTGTCTGATTTTTTTTGCATATTAGAAATCTAAAAAAGTTTGTTAGGTATAAATAAGAAAAAAGAGAACTCGATTCTGGTTCGGATGAGCTCATAGGAGCCTGCAGTGCATGGGCACTGCAACTGGTAGCTCTCGGGCAAATCTTGCTCACCACGACCCGTAGAAGTAGTTGCGCTTCAAGATTAGCAGCCATGGAGCATTATGCAACCCGTGAACGTCACGATAAAAACATATGATTATATAACATCAACGTTAGTAAGAGAGCAATAACTTAATTACATTAGATTTAAAAAGCGTACTCCGGTTATAAGCAAAAAAATGTCTATCCTTCCGTCTTCATCGGAATTGTGGGTTCCCTTTAGCGGGTGCCCCACACCATTCATTTAGGGCGGCTTCCAGTCAGCTCCTGTCAGGCGGTCTTCTCGGTGGGCTCGCGGGCTGCTTTTTCCTCTTGGATGCCATTGCAGTTGTGCTGCGTGGCCTTTGGCGAGCCACCGGCTCGCTTGGATCGGTGGTTACTGGTTGCTAGCTGTTGTCAGTTTGAAGTCGATGCTTCGAGCTCCCCGAATTAGGTTGTCCATGGGGCTAGGACGACGGATCTCTCCGACGAAGGTGGCCTCTCTGGCTGAGACCGCATATTGTGGTATTGGGGGATGGTGGTGATTCAGTTCTCTTGGGGCTGACCTTGGTGGTGAACTAAAGGAGGGTTTCATATCCACATAGGAGCCAGAAATTCCTCAGAGAAAAAATAGTCATGCAACCCAATCTTCTCGCGTAGGTAAACTGGGGTTACACAGTACCCGAATATCATGGACATCACCCCACTGTTAAGAGAAGAGGAAAACTCGATTGGATGAAAATATCCATAGCTAAAATATTTAATACACGAACATAACATGTTAAAGAGACAACCTTACAATACTCGCATGATTTTCTCCTACGGATGCACGATCAAAGAAGGCATCACCTTTGATAAGAGTCATTCGTTCTTCAACCTTCTCTGGAGTACGAATTACTCGACGTTCAGTACCCCATGAAAGAGTTTTCAATGCTCCAAAAATGTATAGAACCTGTAAAAATAAGAAATGATTTTGGTTTAAATGATATTTTCTATCATGTGTTGGAGAGCCGAAAGGACGACATTCAACATACCTCAAATTCATCCATTACAGATTCATCAGCTTCCTCCTTCAGCCAATCGAGAACAATATCATTCTCCAAGATTTGCCTCACTTTTTCATTAAAACAATAAGCATTATCTCTCGTAAAGCTTTCTTTTTTAAGAATCGTAAGAATGTCCCTAAAAAGGTTCATAAGGGGATCTTCATCTTTCAGTTTGCCTTGTAGTCTGGAATACATCATCATATGACGTGGACTCTACAAACAAAGTGGAATTTTTCAGCAATAAATTCAGATCCATTGTGATGCCACTCTAAATAGTAATTAAGTAAAAATATTATCTGACTAAGCTGAATTTATTAGAGAACAAAAGCTAAGAAGGAAAATCATAAGAATTCATAACAATAACTCCAAAAATGATGGCAGGAGACTGATCCGAATAACGAGCATTTATTTACTATTTCAACTGATAAACAGGTGAACAAACATTACAAAACGACGTATTAAACCCACAACTTGTAATCATCAATGAGTGGACACAAAGATACTAACATTTGCATACTACAGACAAAGAATACAACAACAACAACAACAACAACAACATACCCAATATATTCCCAAACGGGTTGGGGTCTGGGGGGTCAGTTGTACGCAGACCTTACCCTTGTAATTATACAAGGAGGTTGTTTCCATAGCGACCCAAGGTGCATTGCGTATCAAGAATAAACTATAAAAAACAAAAATTACACAATTGACATTCAAGCGTATCAAGAGGTAGGCAGTTTTTTCAAATTTGAATCCAGAATAGTTCTTCATTCGGAAAACTAATCAATAGGATTATCTTTTAAAAATCCAAAAATACCAAAAAGTTGCCTGCCTGATCGTTCTGACATCATTATTCCGATCCGATCAAAACTTAACTCGCCATTCAACAGAGACGCTTATTAACATTCCATAAAATAATTGCAGTTGTTTTTAATGCACTAACATAAGATAATTCGGGTACCACTAACAAGCGGAAACGAAAAGAAGACATATACCATGAGAGTCTCTTGGATGGGAGTTTCATCAACCTGCAAAAAGAATCACTAAAATATGTAAAGCAGCAGCAGAAACAACAGACAATCGATAAGAAAAATAATCCATATGGGTTTCATCGTTACAATATTATTATCTAGGCCAAAGAAGCGGAAGTCATCATTATTGTAGTAATCAAAAGTGTAGGTGTCATCTTCGTAGTCTTCAGAAGTGTCGATGTCATCTTCATAGACTTCATCATCGTCAACGGCATCCAACTTCTGGACTTTTTTGTACAAAATCCCACCAGCTTCGTCGGCAATGTCAATGACATCAATAGACCTATTCAAAGACTTTAGAACACCAAAATTCATGACCTCACCCTCTGCATCCATCATCTTTGTTTCCATCTCTTTCCCTAATGACAAATTTAAGGTCAAATTAGATGAATACTGCTCAGCAAAACAAATTGAATTGGGCAACAAAGAAAAATTGTGAACCATACACATCCATCAACAAGTCCACCAACCATTAAAAAATGTAAATAAACTACCATAAAAGCAATAACCATATACCAAGTCCATCAACAAGCTCGATTATAACCATATAAAACACAAAGTCACACGAAATTTAAAGCTTACATGTCCACCAACCATGAAATAGAATCAAATTACATAAAAGAAATTCAAAGGCACCACACCAAATATTCAAAGCCAAAAGTTCATCCATCATTACCTGAATGTATCGCCGGAATGAAGCCGCCTCGCCGCCGCCGCCGCCGCCGTTAGGGTTTTTTTGACTGGAAATTTAGGATTTGGTAGCAGTTGGGAGATTACAGATTAGGTTTTGCACTCTTTGCTTTTGGAAATTGCCCATCCAACCTATTACAAAATTAAAAATTAAAAATGGCAGCTAACGGACCTAAAGGCGGTGGCCGGCCCACTAGTGCAGGCACGTTTTGGCAAGAGTCTTGCGGGCTTGGAATGTCTCAGAGAACATCAGCACCGCCCACAACTCATCTTAAAGTTGAGGCCCATATTGTGGGCCCACTACTAAATATCTTTTTTATTACATATTGACACTTACTAAATAAATCATATTTATCTGCATATATAACAGAAATCAAATTTAGTCATATTTATATTTAATTTAACTAGTATTCGATCTTGTGCACATGCACATGTATAAATAATTTTTTTTATATATTATATGCGTGTGTATGTAATATTTAAAATCATAAATTATATAATGAACATACCACATTTTATAGTTTATCATTAGTAGAAATGAACACATAATTATAAACTATTAATTTACATATTGTTGATCCCCAATTTGGCTCCGATTAATTAAATCATGAATAAAATAATAAAGAGCGGCCCAATAACCAAAGTGCTAAAAATGCGTAATAAATAAATATACAAACAGGTTCTCAAGATTGATCGCCTAAAAACGGACCGAGTTCCCGAATGTCGAGTTCGCCCGCTACCGAGCCAAGGAGTACTCGAATCCGCCTCCAGTAGATACCATAATTGCCGAGGAGACTGACGCCGGTCGGAACCGCCAAGGATCATAAGCGGGCCCCACGATGATTACCTCACAGTAAATAATAATGTATTACCTTTTATTTATCTACTAGTACAGAGCCCGTGCGATGTACGGGGTGCACAATTTTAAAGTTATTTATCCAGCCTTATAATTCTATAAATGAATAAAGAAAAATGTACGGGATATATATAGTACGTGACCTG